ACTATACTTATCTAGACTTTTCAATTTTATTAACTATATAGTTAACTATATACCCAAATATATACTTAATTAATTTTCTTCACAAACAGTCAGCTATACTTGTTATATTTACGAATAGTTCACTATTATCTACTTTTTTGTGTGTGTAAATAAGTATATAGTTAGATATATAACTAACTATTTTTAAAATATAATTACTTATATACATTTATGTGTAGTTAACTATATAGCCACATATAATTATTTATAGAGTTAATTATATTCACAAAAAATCAACTATACTAGTTATATTCACGAATTGTTCACTATTGTCTACATAGTTAGAAATATAAATAACTATATTTAAATATAGTTAGTTATATATTCACGTATAGTTAGCTATATATAAACATATAGTTGTCTATATAGTTAATTTTATTCACAAATAATCAACTATATTTGCTATATCCACAAATAGTTCATTATTCTATATATAGTTAAATATATTCATAAATAGTTTACTATTATACAATTTATAATTCATTATATCAAATAAGTAGTTAATTATATTAAATAAATTTCACTATTTTTATTTAAATAGAGAAATAGTTCATTATTTATGTGAACTAGTTCACTAATGATATCTAACTTGTGATATAGTTCACTATATAATTTATATATTCAAACTTTTAAACAATAATTAGTTACAAAAAAAAATGAAAAATACAGAAAAAGTAAGACGAAAAAGGAATATATTTTATATATGTAAAATTTAAGTTTATTTTTAGAAAATACTACTATTATTTTTTAATTAAGAGAGAAATTTGTATTAAATGTGCATTAAGATGACAATATTTATAACGGGGCAATTACAAAATTACCACTTTTTATGTGCACATTTGCAAGAATGCCACTTAGGGGTGTCCATTTACAAAAATGCCACTAATTATAGATTTATAAAGCCTATATCTTAAAATTCTAAACCCTAAAAAATGTTTTGACACCTAAAACCCCCTAAACACTCAAAACTAAACCCT